CCCATAACATCTGGAGAGATGTTTCATGTGGGTTTTCTTTCCCCAAGTACCCAGTGACATAATTCCACATTCAGAAAGAATTGACAATGACATTTCATCTGACCAAGAAAAAAAGAAAGAGTTCTCCATTTAACAGAAACCAAAGGCAACTGAAGAACACTTTGAAAGCTCATTTCCTTTTCACAGTCTAACACAGACCTAAGGTGCGCCTGCACATGGGTGGTGTCCGCTACAGTTCCGCCAAGTCCTTGTGCAAAGGATTATGACCGAATTGAGACTAAATTTATTTTTTTGCAAATAGTAAGTTTATGCCTCTCTTTGGTATAAGGAGGAATGGAGAGAGAAAAATATGTTTCAGAAGAAAATTACAGTTCACTTGTTACTAGATTTTAACTCTGTTCATATCTGATTTTTTATTTTTTTAGTATCTACCTACTGTTTGAACAGAATCTTAACCTTTTTTCTAGCTTTAAGTCTTAATCAAATTTTTGTTAACATGTTGTAAATTTTGATTTATTAAAGCTAAAACTACTTTTCTTGAAATTAAAAAAACACATAAACAAAAAAACACCTACTTAACGATCACAGTAAGCTATATAGCCTCAGCTAGGTGCTACTTTATAGTATATTCATTCTACTCACTGAGGTTTATGCCTAAAGTCAGACTTGTGTTCATAGATAGGTTTATTTCAGCTGCATTTGCTATTGAAAGTATTTAGATTAATTAAGATCTTTCGTGAATTAATAAAATGGGGGGGGAGGATTATATTGACTTTCCAAGACTATTTTAGGATTTATCATCACAAAAGTACCCTGAGCAAAAAGAAAGAAAAAAGAAAAGTGCTGAGGACCAGCAGGTGGCGTGGTGTTTAAGGTGCTGGACACTCTCATATGGCCAACAATGGTTCAAGTCCTGGACCTGGTGGCTTGCTTTCTCACTTTCCCTCTCTTGCTCGCTCTCTATGTCTCTCTCTGGTCAAATTAAAATAAAACAAATAAATAAGTAACATCAAATTAAAAAAAAACTTTCTTTAAAAATAAAAAAAGTGCTAGCTTCTATGAAATAGATCAAAATATAAATCCTAAAGAGAAAGGCAAGCCTAGGTAACTCCTCAGATCTTGGCTCCATGCCAAACCTCACAACTCAAAATCCTAGGTCATTTCTCCAAAAGCCTTTTAATTTAGATTTTTCTAAGACCATCTTTCCTAGATACAACCACAGACCCTTAGACCATCTTGGTCCCAGAGAAGCAGAAGCTCAGTGGGTGAACTTTTGCCTGGAACTAGTAGGCAGCATAAAGAGAGGACAGCAGAAAGGAATTCCTCAGTCATCGAAAACCAGGGTATTTGATCATAAGATAGTAATTTCTTCAAGATTAGCGAGTAGAATTCTCCCTTGTGCCTTTGAAAGAGGGATTTTCCCCCCCAAACACAATACTGAACTCTGTGTTTAGATGCTGGAACCCTGGAGAACAGATTTTTTAAAAGACATAACTTTCAGAGGAAGCTGGAAATAAAGTCCATTATGACAAATTATCACTTAGACAAGAGAAATCTAGCTTTTTAAACACAACTTTAGCAAAAATTTAAACTT